AATTCCTTTGTTCTGAACTGCATCTTTCTTCCACCAGAATCTTGCAAATGTTTGAGATATTTTATGGCATGGAGTTTTGGGTAATAGAAAACGTGACATTGCATAGAGTGGAAGAGCCGAAAGGACTGATTTTAACAAAGTCTCCTTACCTGCAAGAGAAAGATATCTATTTTTCCAAGAAGTAACTTTGTTAACCACTCTCTTCTGAATAAAATGAAAATTCTGGATTTTTTATTGCACAATACCCAAAGGCAGGCCGAGGTATCTCACAGAATTGTGACAAGTGATGCCCATCAGGATTTCATAAATTTGTCTTTTGGTGTGGGATCGAGTGTTTTTGCTAAAAAAGATAGAGGATTTCTGAAGGTTTATTTGTTGGCCAGAGCATTGCCTATATTTATCCAGAATGTGAAGGATCAGATATGCTTGGTTCACATATGCTTGGCCAAAAAGCAAGGAATCATCAGCAAAAAACAAATGGGTTAATGTAGGACCAATTCTGCAGAGTTTGAGCCCTTTGAAGTTGCCTAAATGACACTCTGTTTTGATAAAATGAGAGAGAATCTCAAATATTAAAATAAATATATAAAGGGACAGTGAGTCCTCTTGTCTGATTCCTCTAGAGAGTTTCACAAACCCATGAGGAGTGCCATTCAGGGTATAAGAGAAAGTAGGAGAAGAAATGAAGGCATTGATCCATTTAACAAAGAAAGTATGGAATCCCATTTTAATCAAAGTATGTTGAACACATAGTCACTCCACCATGTCAAATGCTTTACTCATATATTATTTGAGGGCCATGTAATAATTGTTTCTCTGTCCATGTCTATTAAGAAAATGCATCACTTCTTGAGCAACAATCACATTAATAGTTATGTGTAACAATCAAAGTACGTTGAACACAAGCTACAACTCATTGATTTGGTTAAGCTCTGTAAAATTCAATTTCACTTCACATCAAAATTTAGACAAAATGTTTGTGTTACAAATATATTAGCTAGTAGTGTTACAATCTATTTCACTCTTTAGTACAATAAAAAAAAATGTTACATAATATTATATATAGCTTTTGTCTCTTTGATTTTTTCCCATATTCGCAGCCGCAGCAGCAAGATTTTTCTTCTTAGTTTTTCTATCCCTCTCTAGATTTTTTTCTCTCTCTAAGAGCTCCAAGACTCAATTTTAGTTGTAATAATTCGTCATCAGGATTCCAACTTTCTAGTTTATTTCTTCTTGTGGATGCACTAGAGACTTAGAGACTTCTTTAAAGGTCCAGAATCTATTAAGTTTTTCTTGTCTTTACTTATTAGATTTTTCTAGGGTAAAGATAGGAGCATTCATGAGCAGAATATACATTCATCATTGTATGCTAGGGTTTATGTGATTTTGTCGTTGATTGCGTGATCGAAAATTAATTGAGAGCTCGATTACTTGATTCGCGAGTGACTTGTTGTTGATTACATGAATGAGAATCGATTGAGAGCTCAATTGGTTGATTCGCGAGTGACGTTTGCTTGATTACGTGTTTCCGAACTTATGAGTGTCTTCTTTCCATCTCGGGTCTTAGGTTACCTTGTTTATTCTCTGTTTTTGCATTTTTCTTGCAATTTTAAGGTCTTGCTAGTTAATTTTTTTTCTTGCTTTCATTCTTGCTCTAAGATTGTGATCTTTCGTCTTAATCAACCACCAAATTGCGAGTAGAGTGTTTAGGACATTTTCATTTCTTTTCTTGTTTGAGTCAACCGTTGCTTGAATCTGCGACCAAATGACCCTCCTCGAGAGACACGACCCGAGGTCAGATTTCATTCCACACTCTGCTAACAACTACAAACAACGATCATATGAATTACCCTCCACCCCCTTTTGGAAGTTCGTCCTTCTGGCTCCTTCGGCCTCCTTTTTTTATCACTCGCCTCCTTATCTTCTTTCATCTCCCTATCTTGGACAAAAAAATCTTTTCAGGTGATCTGCCTCTATCTGCCTCTCTATCTCATCCTTTAGCTTCTTGCAGTTGTTCGTCCAATGCTCATTGTCACGGTAGTATCTACAGAACGGGTCTCCTCGCACCGGCACTTGCCCCTTCGTCTTAAGTAGAGGTTGAGGATTTCTGACATGTTAGTATCTCATTGTTTCTCTAATGTCGGATACACCTAACCCGTCGATGATGTCAACGACGTGTAGTGCTCTTACTTAAACTCAATGCATCACTTTTCATCATTCCTAGCATCCCTACCTCCCGACTTCCTTTCCTCCATTCTGTGCCTCTCCTTGTGCTTCTTCCCCCTAGCTCGATCGTTCACAAGGAAATATGTCTCGGTCTTTTTCATGTTCATGTATTTGATACTTATCTTCAGTAGCTCTTCATACGGCCTATCAGTTTTTTTAGCTATGGAATATCTACAATAGTCTAGTCATAGAACTCGTATGAGCCCTCCTGCCTTGATCTCCTCCGATGCTGAGGGAACCTCCACACAAGCTTGTGCATACCTAGGATCATAATCACGCAACGACACAGTCTCACGCGGTTGTATGTTAATCACCATGAGGTAGGTTTCTCATGTTTCCTCCCACTAGAGAACTGATTGATGAAGTCGAGCTAAACACACCAAAGCTATAGATAGATTTTACCGGTAATTGGTAGAACCAATCTTGAGCATAGCCCTTTCTAGTCGTAAAAAAAGGCAATGCAACAAACTACATCTCTGTATCGGTGTAGAACTGCCACATTCTCAAAGCTCCGCAAATGCCTAGTTGGATCCGAAGCGCTAAACACACCAAAGCCATAAATAGATTCTGCCAGTAATTGGTAGAACCAATCTTGAGTAGAGCCCTTTAAGGTCGTCAAAAAGGCTCTAGCAAACTGCATCGCTGCATTGGTGTAGAACTGCCACATTCTAAAAGCTCCACATATACCTAACTGGATCAAAAGACCCGTCATAGAATATGCTAGGTTTCCTAAAATTCTGTGGTAGGTCGGCACCCAAGACATCATCAGTAAAGGGATGGCCCTGCATCCTTAGTTGTCGTCTGTCTCCACCTTGGTTTGCAGCTCCCTAATCTGATCCCACATTTGCTCCAACACTATATCCCTTGCCAGTCTATTACCCATTTGAGACATAACAGACCTCTCATCGAGCTCATTTCTTCTCTGGCTCCCACCTCCCAACGTCCTAGACACCGTCGGGATATGATACTCCACCACTGGGACCACAACCTACACCCCTCTATCTAGATGATCAACCTCTGGCTCTGGCTGCTCCACCGTTACAGTCGGCCTCTCCACCGTCGCCATCGTTTGAGACACCATCACCCTACCAACCGCCTCCACAATGAGGCAATCCAACTCCCCCTAGCCACTTGGATCACATGCTCACTACTTCTTGTCACAACTCCGTGGCCTGTCGTCTACGCAACAACCTACTTACCCTTCACTTACCTACCAACCCTCGGTCTAGCTCCGAAGACAAGGTCTGATTGATCCCTTGCATGGTCACATGATGGGTAACATCGTCCCCTCGCCTCCAGCCCATCCTACTGGTGGTTCTCCTCTATGGGGCGTTTTTGCAAACCAAACTCCTCTAGGATCTCATCCAAATTCCTCCGTAACCGCTCCTCTTCTTAGATCATCTTCTCCATCTTAGCTTCCTTTACAACCAGTAGAATAACAGAGTTACACCACAAAACGACGCCAATTGATGTGTAGTTTCACCTCGAACCGGCCTTCCAACGGTCATGGACGCTTTGCTCCAGGAGGCCTGCAAAGACGTCGGGAGGTGTTCCCGTAGTTAAACCTCCGACGATCAAGTCAGTAAGGACTCTGGAAAACTTTATAGAACTGTATCAAATATTTATAAAATATGAAGTGTGATTAACCTTAAATCTTCCCCAATTTTATCTATTTATAGAGGGTTATTAGGTTCTTCATATTGATTTGTTCTGCTCCGATAGATCATTTATCCCTTCTTGATCTTCACCTTACACGTGTCCCTTATGAACTCCTTTCGTAATCGCTTCCACAGATCATCCCTTACTTTGTAAAGTGCTCCTATAGGCCAGCCTTCTCCTATAAAACACCTCAGCTATACTCCGCCGAGCTACTTCTGTGCTGATCTCATATCACTTTCAAGCCCCACGTATGGCATAACTACTATTAGGCCGACCTACTTCCGTGCTAATCTCCTAGCACTCTCAAGCCCCACAGACAGCCTAGCTACTATTATGCCGAGCTACTTCTACAAAGTTCCTCGCCCTAGCTACCTAAACGTCTTGCTTCCTTAAATAAGTATTGTCATTCGAGCTCCTCATAATCCGAGCTATTGACTTTGGTAAGCTCCTGGCTCCGGTCCATAAACCAAGCTAGTCGTGATTGGTTCTACTGAGCTATTCTTATGTGCTATATTACTAAAAGAATTCCAACGGCAGTTCTAACGAAAAATCCAATGCAATCATTCCGTTGGAATTTTCCATTGGCATTCCAACAAAAATTTCAGCGAAAATATTCACTTTAAATAAATTTTCATTAGAATTTCCGTTGGATTTTGATTATTCAAACGATATATTTTCCAATGGTTGTAATATGGGTGGAAACAAAAATTTCAACATAAACCACACATTTCAACAAAAATTCTAATGAAAAAACTCATTCCAATGGAAGCTACACCATTAGAATATCAGTTAGAATTTTAATTGGAATACATTACCGTTTGCTTTTCCGTTGGAATATGATATGTTATTGTTTTCCCGTTGAACCAAAACTGCTGATATCAAAAGTACAAAAGTACAACTTTTACATAACACATTTATCAGACCATAACGTTCCAAGAGTACTACAAGATGCTGATTGCTGAGCATCACAATATTAACTCCTCCCACGATATACACATATTATATAATTGCTTCTTTGAAGTAACTGTATTTCGATATTGGAACAAAAGTTAAGTTATATCAATGTTTGGTAATTGAGCATTTGAGGTTCAATCCTTCAAGTGACGTATAGATGCTCAGTTTCGGTCCCATTGAGAGACAAGAATAGCGTCAATTGCCTCCCTAACCTGAGATAGATCTGGAGCTTTTCCAACTTGTGCTGGCCAAAACTCATCAGTTGCCAATACCTGCCCGAATTAGTCAGTAATGCTCGAAAAATCACGCTATTATCCGCCAAACTAGACATAATTGCGCCAAATTTAAAAATATATACGTCGAAGACTGATTTCTCATCAATAATCCATGTGACATGAGACGAAAAAACGAAAAAAAAAAATCCATATTTTTCCTCATACTCACCTTCACTTGCAACTGGAGAAACTTAACATAGCTCATTGCCTTCTCAAGCATTGTCACCAAATCAACCTTCATAACGTAACCGCACATATTGAAATCAAGCTTCCTTGAATGAAATGAGAAAAAATTGAAATGAATAATCAAATACATATATAAACCTAATGTTGTTGTGCCTACCTTGGAACCATTCAGGACAAGATCTTGTAATATCTTCAATCGTTCGCTAATCCTTTCCCTTCGATTCTGTATGAAAAATGCTCGATTATTAATGATGCAGCTCTGAACTAACCCCATTCTCTCTCTTTTTTTTTTTTTTTTTTTTTTTCAATCAGTTTAACTTGATTTGTTTGTCGGTTTTGCTATGGAGTTTTCGGATGACTCGGCATATGGAGTCATCCATAGTTATTCATAAATTATGTATTGACACGTGTCCTGCAATAAATGCACATTAGACATATGTCAATACACAAAGTCATGGATGGCTCCATAATGGAGTCATCCGATGGCACCATAGAAGCAGAGCTAACTCCTTAAATATTACCTTAGCCGCAACACTTTGTGGATCCTTCGATGTGGACGCCGCCTTTGGTTTTGACTTGTTTGAACCACTATAATTACTTGAGCTCACAACACTCTGCTTCTTCTTAATAGCTTGCACACTAATTTCTCCCTGTAAATTATACTCTACAATTTATTCCGATTACTAGCTAACTATTTTTTTGTACTTAATAATTATTCAGGAATTTATCTTTGCGCTTACCGTGGATGGGCGTTTATTACTGCTCAGTTCATGTTTCGTAGGCTCTTCAATCCCATTAGTGATTGTATTTTGCTGATTGAGGCTGAAGAGGGGTCCGCCGGCATGCGCGAAACTACGGCCATAATCGGACCTGAAGCGAATTACCGAATTGCCCTCGTCCGACAAGTTGTGATGAGAGTGACGACGATAACCTAAACCGCTGGAGTTTGTGCTGCTGCGGCTAGAGACTGGGGATGAGTTGTTGATCACGAGATTCTTGGCGAGCCCGAATTCGTCCTTGTCCCGGCTTTCTTCATAAACACTACTCTTCTTCTTCTTCTTCTGATGATGATGATGATGCTTGCACGATAAAACGTGCATGTCGTCCGAGCTGGAGGAATCGTGAATTAACGAAGAATTCTTGAAGTCGTGCTCGTAAAACGCGCTTGCTTGCTGCATGATGGCCATGGTTGATTCATTAGGGTTGTGATTCTTGTTTGCTAGGGCCATTAGAAGATATTCAGATCAAGATTTGAGTGGTAAGAAAGTAGCTGTAGGTGTTCAAACTTTGTGGCCATCTACCCTTTATTAATAATAACACTTACTACCTAAGAGCGCTTGGATGAGATGTCTTGAGTTTCTTCCGGCTTAATCAATGGTCTCGTGTTCGAGCCCTGGGAATGCAGCAGTGTTAAAACTCTTGAGGGAGAGCTTTGCCGCCCTTGTGGTCCTACCCGGCTCGATTCCGGATTAGTCGGTTCCCCTGTAGATCCGGAAACCGGAAGGTCCCTGTACCAAAAAAAATAATAATAACACTTACTATTTTTTTTAATCACTAAAATATGCAGCTGAAATGCCGCCGCATCATATGTTCTACGTTCGTATCTTAATTATTATTATTGGAAGATGTTACGGTCTCTTAACGAAACCATTTTGTCGTGGTTTTTAACCGTTAGATTAACTATCTTTGACGGTTACATGATGATTTAACGGTTACAAACTCCAACGGAATGATTCCGTAACAGGACCTTTTTATTTTCCATTATTATTATTATTATTTTGGAATTAATGTGATCAGCTTAACATGCCAAAATTGCATTTCGGCCACCTCTTTAATTTGTTCTTTCGCTTTAAGTCCATTTTGCTTTGAGTGAATGAAATATGATTATTATAATAAGATCCAATCAAGAATAAAATTTAGCTATTAATTTATTTATTTTCTTATTTGTATGTTATATACAAAATGAAAATTAAAGGTGAATATTTGTGCTACACCACCACTCTATTGTGTTTGTTTGTTTTACAACACTACATTTGTAGTTCTGTTAATTATATAAAATTATGATACCAAGATATTTTTCTTTTGCATGCATGACAGCATTGATTTATATTAGTTATTGTATAAAATCAACTGTTCACATGGGCATTGAATTATTGTGGCGACATTTCAGCTGCCATGGTTTAAATTGTCTGATTAAAGATAATTTACGAGTCAAACCTAAAACCAATACATATAGTATTTTTTTAATATATAATTCTATTGTTTAAATAAAGCGTGATACATTATTATTATTTTTATTATTTTTGAAATATATTTTCTCTTTTATATATTTAATGTCTATTCAATTTTTTGCATTATTATTTTCAATGAATGAAACAAAATAAGTACATTACATATATAACTATTTCAAAATATTGAAAGTTGAAATATCAAAATAATAATATTTAAAAGTCGTGGTGAAAATATTGTATGATAATTTTGGTTGACAAATCTTCATTATCTAAGTTAATTTTATTTATTCGAAATTTTTATTGTTAGGAAGACTGAAAAATATGTACAATAAAACAAACTTATAATCTTTTACAAAAATAATGGGATGTCACAGTTTACATTTTTGTCTTGTTATCTTAGTGAATAAGGTAATTCTTTGTCATTATTTTATTTAGTAATAAAATAGTTTTTTTTTTTTTCCGAAACGACAGAGATTGTATTACTAATTCTCAAAAGAGAAAAGAGTTCAAAGTACAATCTAACAAACAACCGGAAAGGATAAACTGAGAGGCACATACAGGATGACCTAAAACCTCAACAATGGGATAGAGACTGAGAAAAATAAAAACAGAAACTTATCGCACGCCACTGCTTCAAAGCCTAGCAAGATGATAAGCCTTTAAGGTCCAAAAGAAAACCCAAACAACATATAAAACAGACAAACCAAATACAAACAGACCAAATATACAAAACAAAGGTCAACCTACAGCTTGAGTGAACTCCAACCAATCTGATTGTGCTGCAATGATCACTCTGTGTGGTGGCATAAGAGATTTTTGAAACACCAAAAGATTTCGTGACTTCTAGAGCCACCAAAGCAGGTATGTGGATAATTGAATCCTAACTTCAGCTACCTCTGAAGAGTCAAGAGAACAGATTTGTTGCCACCATTCTTTGAAAGAATCAGAGTTGCAAGTCTGAGGATCCCATTGTACTGGTGATAGCTCCCAAAGTCTGTTAGCTCTTGAGTATGAGAAGAACAGATGTTCTACAGTCTCAGGAAATGCTCCACATATAGCACAAGTGGTGTCAATGTAAAGGACTTTTCTTTTGAGATGAGTGGCAATAGGTAAGGTGCCTGTGATGCACTTCCACAAGAAGTGTTTTACCTTGTTCTGAATCTTAAGTCTCAAGTACCTGTAAATTAGAGTTTTCTTTTGATGTGAAGAAGTGTTGCATTCAGGTATACCCAAGAGAGAGAGTTTAGTATCAACTAAATGAGCATAAGTGGAAGCAACAGAGAACAATCCTTTCTGATAAAGACCCCAGTAAAACCTATCTTCTTTGTCTGATTTAAGAGTATTGATACTGAGAATGGCAGCACTGTCTTGGTCAGAGAAGACCTGTTTGATAAGCCAAGAATTCCATTCTCTTCCACTAGCCAACAGATGGTCCTTAACCCATATTAAGTGATCACTGGCTAACTCCAGAATTTGAGGAACAGGTTTAGAAAGATAAGGAACCCAATTGATATCAACAATTCTAGTGTTGACACCATTCCTTATTTCAATTTTAAGCCACTTAGAAAACACAAGCATCAAATACATCCAAGAATTCCAAAGCCAAGATCCATTTGAACATTTAATAGCATGAACAATAGAGTGATTAGAAAAGTACCTATCCTTTAGGATCCTGCTAACAAGAAGATGAGGATTGGTCGCAATCCTCAAATACTGCTTACAGATAAGAGCCTGATTGAATAATCTAAAATCCAGAAAACAAAGACCTTCTTTAAGCTTTGGGAGAGCAAGGAGAGCCCATTTTCTCTAGTATATGCCAGAAGAGTCCTGATTACCAGATCTCCACCAAAACTCAGCACATAATTTAGACAATTCAGAGCAAAGAGAGATAGGGATTTTAAAGCAGGACATAGTAAAAATGGGGAGGGCTTGAACCACAGCCTTGAGCAAAACCTCCTTTCCAGCAGGGCTGAGTAAGTTAGCTTTACAGCTATTCACCTTTGATTTTACAGAAGTAAGAAGGTATTCAATACCTCTTTTTTTGACCTCCCAATTCCAAGGAAAAGCCCCAAATACCTGGTTGATCTGTGGGAGATTATTCCATTCAGAGTATGACAGATAGAATGCTGAAGCTGCAGAGGAGTGTTTTTGCTGAAAAAGGCTGCAGATTTTTGTAAGTTGACTTGCTGCCCTGAAAACAATCTGTATTGCTCTAGCAAATTTAAGAGAATAGTTGTCTGATCCACCCCAGCCTTACAAAAGAACAAGGAGTCATCTGCAAATAATAAATGTGAAAGAACAAGGCCATTTCTGGATTTAAGGCCTTGCAGATGTCCTTTATTGCAAGCATCAGTGATAAGAGCTGATAAGAGTTCTGCCACAATAATAAAAAGGTAGAGGGATATGGGATCCCCCTGCCTTATCCCCCTGGATGGAGTAACATAACCACTAACCACTCCATTAACCTTGAAAGAAAAGGATGCAGAAGACACACAAACCATAATTAACTTGACAAAGTCCTGATGAAAGCCCATTTTTCAGCATTATTTTTTAAGGCAAATCCACTCAACCCTGTCAAATGCTTTGACTAGATCGAATTTGAGTGCCATGAAGTAGTTTCTACTAGAAGAATGTCTGTTCAAATAATGGACTGTTTCTTGTGCAATTATTACATTGTCTAAGAGCTGTCACCCCTGAATAAAGGTTGATTGATGATCACTAATACACTGAGTTAAACAAAGCTTCAGCTTTTGAGCAAAAATTTTAGATAAAACCTTATACACAACACTACACAAGTTGATAGGTCTAAACTGAGACAGATTTTGAGGGTTATGACACTTAGGAATGAGAGATAAGATGGTGTGATTCCAGTAGTTAAGCGTCATATCAATTTGAAAGAAGCTAAGAATAGCAACAACCAGATCATCCTTTATAAGTGTCCAAAAATGCTGATAAAATAAGGCACTCATACCTTCTTCACATGGGGCTTTGTTAGGATTAAGACTGAGTAATGAAATTCTCATTTCTTCTTCTTCCACTGGTTTGAGAAGGTCTGCATTAAGCTCTGAGGTGATTGTGGTGGGAATGAGAGGAGTAGAACATCCCCTCCCCAACTTCCTTCTAAAGAGAAAAGGTTATTGTAGAATTCTGCAATGTGAACTTCAATGTCTTTCTGATTGGTGATTGGCTGGACTCTGGATGTAAGAAGTCTTGTAATAGCATTATATCTCCTTCTTTGCAAAGTCAGGGCATGGAAAAACCAGGTGTTTGAATCTCCCTCTTTCAACCACTTCAGCCTGGCTTTTTGTTGTCAGAACATTTCTTCTTACTTGTGAGCCTTTTCTAAATCTCTTCTTGTAGTTTCCCAACTCTCCCAGTGACTGCCATATTTGTCCTTATTTAGAATTTGTAGCTTGTTGGTTAAGTTTGAGATTAGGGCTTGATTCTGAGTTTGAAACTTTGAGCTCCAAATAAGAAGTGTTGTTCTAACTTTTTTTATCTTCTCTTTGAGTTAATAGAAGGGAGTTCCTGAAAATTTTGTCTTCCAAGCATTCTGGACTGTTTCTTCAAAACCCTCTTTGCCTAACCATCTCTTGTTAAGTGGAATCTTGATTTTTTCCTTTCCCTGGGGAGGCCATAGTAAAAAAGAAGTGGAGTGTGTGGTCTGAGGCACTACTGACAAGATTAGAGACTGATGCATTGGGGAAGGCTTGAATCCATGTTTAGTATAAAAATGATGGGCATGTGGTAACCGAGCTACCCGACTCGGGTCGATCTCGAAGGAAGGCTATTCGGAGCTTCGTCTACTAGATGATCGTCCAAAATCACAAAAAGGGAAAATAAAGTCCTAAACATTCTAAGCAATCGATTTGGAAGTTGATTAACACTAACGAGCACTTAACAACGAGCAATTAATTGAAAGCAAGATCAAAAGACGAGCAATTCACAATCTAGATCACCAGAGTCTCATGCCATAACCAATACGGGATGATAATCAA